ATTAAACTATTGAAATGGAGTATAATGCAAATGATTGGTAGGCTAATAGGTGCCAACTTAGTTGGGATGTACTTAACCTATAGTGATGCAATTTCTCTACCATCATCAATAATCCATATCTATTTTATTTAATGATATAAATTTGTAATATTTCATTTCATTTCATTTTGAAATAAAAATTATTCTTTAAATGTTATCATTTTTTTTCCCGTCAAGATGTTCAATATATTTTGTTTTATAGCCTTAAAAAAAAAAGGACCTACTAGGCTCGAGCTTGAGCCGAGGCCCGAATCTGAGTGGACTTAGGCTTGGGTCTGGGCCGGACGAACCCGACCAGCAAAGTGGTAGGAGCCCATGTGGCACGAAAGCGGGCCTGCTCGGGCCTGAGTTGGGCCAATTTTAGACATAACTTTCAGACTTGTACCCTTACAAAAATGCCATTACTTTACTTGAGATTATTTTCACATAACTAAACACAAAATTAAGCGATTGTTTGAAGAGTAAACATTTTAACTAAAAGTGGAAAACATTAGAAATTGGTAAGAATTTAATCTGAAAAATGTTTTCTGCCTTTTAAAAGTGGAGAACTTTTTTTGCCTATATAAGCTTATTTTCTGTTGACCATGAAAAATATTTTATGTTAACTTTCATTTTCCATTATACCAAATACCAAAAAATATAAAAAAAAAATATTTTATAGAAAATATTTTTCATCCAAACAAATGGAGCGTTAATGCATTTGGAAACATTAGAAATTTGATAAATGTGATAACAAAAGTTAGATATTTTATGGAAAATAATTGGCCTTCTCATTTTCTGAGAAAATAGATTTGTTTGTAAAATTTTAGAAGAGGATGAGCTGACACTATGCCTTTCGACCAACAGTAAAAGTTGAGCTAGCAAACCTTGAAATTTACTCTAACCAAGAACAACCGGAAGTAGGACTACAAAAAACCATGGTCAGAACTCTAGAGAGAGAAAGAGCTCCACACAATGGAGAAACCTCCATAGGCATTCATTATATTTCATTTTATGTATACGAGAGAGGATATTGTAATTTATTCATTCTTTATTGTTTTTCGCATGTTTATTGTTATTGAAATGGACTGGTTAAAGGTTATGGTAATGTTATCCAAGTAATAAAAGTCGGGGTATTACATACTCCACCGTAACATGTATTCATATTACGTGTGCTTGTCGACCAAGTACTAGAGTAAGAGAATGGATCCATGCTTCTTCACCATGTGAGTCTTATATGTCATTGTTGGTGTGACTTTCACTTTTGTATCCTTTGTGACCTTGACTATGTCATAAGGTAAAGGGTTGATGTTCAACTACTTTGGTATATTGCTTGCAGCCATGATTGATTCGGCCTTAAGGAACATCATTGGAAAAGCGGTCAATCCTAAACTCAATGGCATAAGGGCGAAGGGAAGATCATTTATTATTACACCTCTGTTGTATTCATTGCCGGCCACTCACATTGCTCTGTATGAGAGGCAGATTGAGTGTGTATATATTGCATGATATGAGAGGGTTAGGCATGCTCTATAAAGGATTAGAGATGCTTAGATCGGTGTAATTGGATGGGTTTGGGGTATATGGAACACTATTTTTATCTTCGGGTTGATGTTTCTATATTGGCTCTTTTGAGTTTCTAGTTTAGAGCTCCCATATGCAGGTGTTCTCAGCGGTTGCATGGTTCATTAGCTAATATGATCGTGTTTGATGGATGAATTAGGATAAAGGAAGCGTGATGTGATGCCAATGCATGTTCGAGTGGAAGATGTTGGAAATTAGGTTGGGTTTTGAACTCATACGCGATTGGGTTGCCTATGGTAGCATGACCCAAGACCCATAAGGAGAGACCTAATCAAAGTGGATTTGGATTAACTTATCTTGGGAATAAGTGTGAATAATCCATTATCACATCTCTTAAGGAGATATAGTTGTGAGTGATTATAACTCTCCCATAATAATATACGTATTATATGATGAGATTGATTTAACCGTGTAAGTAAGTTACATCTACAGTCTCTCTCTCTCTCTCTCTCTTAAACTCTCTATTTTCTCTCTCCATGGAAACACAAAACATAGCTTTTGTATTGTGAATAGTGTGGATAGTTCTCTAGTAGTTCTACCCCATTACTGGCAATTGTTTGAGTTCATCATGGAGGCATGTGATTCACTCACATGATCATTGGATTTGGTTTGAGTGTTAAAGGTATGCCTGAATCTGTTTATTTTCGCTGTGTATTTCTGATTTTCCTACAATAGATGTATCGTGTTCCTTCCGGCTAGCAACTGGTAAAGCAGGGGTGTTTTGGTGGAGTTTGGTGAGATCACAAAGATGTATGTGTTAGGATCCTTTGTTAATAGATGTGTGTGTTGAGATTTATTATGGGTTATGTATAAGTGTTGAGACTTGTTATGGATTATGTGGGTGTTGTGGTTTATTATAGTCGAATAGACATATATATATGTATGAATTTTGAAATAAAATGAAGTGATCATAGAAATGTCTTAGTATTTTGGACAAAAAAGGAAAAAGATATGTCATTATATGTATAATGTGGAGTATCATAATTATACATGTATAGGACTATTAATTGGAATTAGAGATTTTGCTTATTGGACTATATGTTCATTTCACAATGTTAAAATCTTTTTAGGTATCGGCAATGAACTAGGACCATGAGTTGGCGTGGAAAATGAGTACGAGCAAGGAGAGCTCTTTTGATTGTAGCCATGAAGCCTTTAATTGTAGGCCATATGATGTATGGAAAATGTTTGGGAGCTCTAGAAAATGAGCTCCAATAGCTCTAATCTGTGTGTGGCCCCATTTAATGTGATGTTTTGGCTGTGTGTGTGTGTTTTTAAAATTTTTTTATTTTATTTTTCACATCACTAAAGCTTAATTAGAGCTCTAATTTTAAAGGGATGATTCACTACTGATGATGTATTAAGGGTTACATTTTTTTCCTTTTATTGATGTAAGCCTATGAGTCTTGTTAATGAAAGCCACAAAAGATCTAGTCAAGAGAGTAATCATTAGCTTTACGTACTTCCACTAATATGGAGAATGTTGAATAAAAGTATAAATAAATTGAATGTTTAAAAAAAAAAAAAACTACTAATAAATATGACATTTTCTTTTGTGGGTAAAAACATCTCATTCTTGGGGTATGAAATTGATGGTAAATTTTTTAACTATTACATTGTAATGTTAAAAAAATTAAAATAAAATTGTTAAAATTGTCAACTTTTGCGGTAAATGGTTACTCAATTTTCTTTATCTTTTCCTTTATTTTTTTAATTTTATATACTATATCTTTTACTTATTTTTACAACAAGTTAATCCAGATTAAAAAGAACTTTAGATTGAAATTATTTTTGTTTGGTTGAATTTTCAAATTTTATTTTGAAAAATTAGAAATTAATGTAATTAAAATAAGTAAAAAAATATTTTTAGATTTTTAAAAATTATTTCTATACCAAAAAAAGAAATAACAAAGGAAATAAAAAGTTGAAATGAAAGGAAAAGTAGCCAAGGTGTTTGGGTATTATTAAAAAAAATAGCTATTTAATTAGACAGCATTTAAGTTTTTACAACTTTTGATACTGGTAGAAGTGGTTGTATCTATTTAGTGCTTTTTTGATATATACCCTTAGGGCAAATGTTAGCAAAAGCCATAAGTTAGAAAAATCAACTTAGAGGGTGGTGTTGGGCCTTTGTAGGCCCACCATGGAGCCTGAATCGATGATCCAAACCATCAAATGCATAGCACTTTATCTCTAATCATATTTGTGTCAACAACTTATTTTTAAAATCATATTTATCATTTTCCAACTTCAAATAATCAATTTTTTTTTTCAGTTTATGTAAGTTATTTATTTCTAAATTGTAAATAAAATTTGTACCAGACACATACTCTAGAATTAAAATAAATTACTCCATTCGTCCCAAAATATTAATCCCTTATTTTATTTTTTATTGACCCAAAATTCCTTTTTCAAAAATCAAGGACTAAAATAATATAAATTTCCTATTTTGTCATGCTTTTAAATTCATTAATAAACGCAAAAGGTACAATTATGACAATTGATGTTTCTAAAAAAAAAAATATTATCAAAAGGTAATTTTGAAGAATTAATATTTTTAAGTGTAATAATTATACTACTAAAAAAAAGTTAGATTTTAAAAATATATTAATATTTTGAAACGGAGGGAGTACATCTTTATGCAGCAAACAACCTATTTAGACTAAAAAATTATTGTTTGCTCTTGAAAAAAGCTGATGTGGCGCTCCAACTTAGTTGTTATTGGTTAAATCAGTAAGACCCACTATTTTTTATTTTTTATTTTTTTTTTTTTGGGGGTTCTCTTTTTAGTAGTTGCAGCTTGAATGTAGCGTGATGTCTTATAGGAATTTCAATTAAGTTGTGTGTCTTCTTAATTTTATTAATTGCTTTACGTAAAACATAATAGAAAAAATAAAAAATAATGAATATATAACAAATGGAATTATAAAAATATATCAAGTAAGATATAAGATGGACTTATATAATAAAATTTTCAAACGTCATCTCATCATGTACACCACACGTGTACGACCAACAAAGGTTCAACTATATTTATTTATGAGTCTGGATCATCTGCCGCACTTTCTTGTGGCCCTCCCTTGCGGTGGTCCAAAACGACGTCGTTTTGGACCCCTTTTTTATTGGGCAAATTACATATACACCCCTCGAGGTTTGGCTAAATTATAGATATCCCCTCAAGTTTCGGAAATTACATCCCGCCCCCTGAGGTTTGTATTTTCATAACAATTTGCCCCCTGAGATTTATATTTCATAACAAATTACCCCCAAATTTCTTATGCAAATATAGCATTCAGGGGGGAATTCGTAATTTCTCAAACCTCAGGGGGCATCTGTAATTTAGCCAAACCTCGAGGGGTGTATATGTAATTTGCCCTTTTTTGTTTTCAGCCTCATTTGAGATTTTGAACCCTAACCCCTCTTCAAAGATGCGAATAAAGAGGCGACGAACAGAGATTGGAAGAGGCCTTTGGGGGGATAAAGAATCCCAGAGTGAAGACTTTTTGTGCAAAGACTAGGAAAGTAGAGGAAGAGAAATTGAGCTCATCACCTTGTTTGAGTGTGCTGATGATGATGAAGCAAGAGAGGCCAAGAAAATTGGAAAGAAAATTCTGATGACGACCATGAAATTTTCCTTGGCAAAGGCAGCCATACTCAGCAAGTGCAACACATTGATGCTGTCTACATCGCCCTCTATGTTCGTCTCTCATCGCCTCCCCTCGCCTCACCGCCGTCTCTCCTCGCCTAAAGGCCTCTTCCAATCTCCAGAGGCAAAAAAAAAAAAATAAAAAAAAAACTTTTTCTTGAAACATAAAAAGAAGAAGAAAGGGGGCTTTTATTGTGGATTTATTGGGTTAGATTTGTTGTGGATTTATTGGGCCTTTGTCTGTGCAACTTAGGGGAGAGTTTTCAAGTTCCCTAAGTTCGGCAATTTGTATTGAAAACATATCTTGCTTTATGGAAATGCTGATAACCAGGATTTTGTGCTGATTGTCCCAATATGCAATAGTCAATAGCAAATAAATTTTATTGTGATTTGGTTGTGGTTATTTTTTTTTTTCTTTTTTCTTTCTTTTCATCTCTTCAATTGTAGTTCATCACTCTATTATACCATAAAATCTGTTGTCACTACTTAGTGCTCCGTTTGTTCTTTTTACTTATATTGGTAAATTCAATTGCATGACTCTTTTGCTTGTTGTTTCCCTCCGAAGAACCCTACATAGTATGCTTAAGCTTGTTGTGGAAGTTGATGAATCAATGACTCTAAGACAAATAATTTCCTCGTGCATCAAATAAAGATCAAACTATCCGAAAGTCAGTGCTAATTGCATTTCTAAAACATTGTATTGTGCTTACTTTTTACTCATGTGCTTAACAGCTTGCCTCTCATCACATTTCATGCGTTTTATCTCTACAGAAAGTGAAGAAATTCACACTTGATGGAGCAGAGCCAAGGGAAAGTTAAGTCAATGAACCCAAAGATAATCAATTAGATTGACACCCATTAATGGATAAAAGATGAGATTATATATGTTGTATAAGTATTTCTACTTTTTTATATGATTGCCATTACTTATTGTTTTTATGGTATGCTGCAGCTAGTGGAACACAACAATGTTGTTGATGAGTTGGACAGCTACGATTGAAAGCAGAAACTGGGGATGCCATTTGATTTAGAACAAGACAATGCCATTTTGTTTCCTTGTTTTGGTGTTGAATGGTATTCATGGATGAAATTTTATTTTCTTAGTTGTTAGCCATGATCATACTGAAATTTGTTTGATTAAGTTGTGGCAGTGATCAATTTTGTTATTCTCGTGTTTGGCAAATGTAGAAGTTGCTGAAAATTATTTGTCTTGGTAATGCTAATAAATGAAATTAATGTTTTCATTCCAAATGGATTATTGTATTTGTCATTTGTTAATGTTAGAACTCAATTGTCAGTTAAATGAATACACTATTTCCAGTTGAATGGATACAGTTTGCCAATATATGGTTTGTTGCCTGTTTAAATGAGAGAAAAAAAAGAGTTGGTTGCTTCAAAGGACCACATATCATTTTATTCAATCAACATTGTCATTGCAAATGTTAATCTAACTATAACATTCATATTAATTATAATACATCATTCATTTTGATTCAATTTGATTGTGATCAATCCAGGAGGAGATCAAGTAAACCAAACCCACCCATGATTGGGAAGAGATCAACGAATCCACTTGAATCATACACCCCATGCTTTCTATCGAATTCCCTACTTGTACAAATTCAAAACAAAATGTGCAACAGTCTAGGCCAACCCCAAACCAACAAAGTTATCATCAAGATCACTAGCATTCAGAACAAAAACAAAAAAGAAACAACCAATCATTAAAAAAAAAATGCATATGCTCACATCAAATTCCATGAGCTCTCAAAAATGGCACATTCATAAAGAACTTCATCCCTCTATCTCCAAAGCCTCTTGAAAAGAAATGCTACCATAATGGCTAGAAAACGAAAAACCAACACACACACACATGCTTATCACATAGAAAAAAATCTTCACCAAAGATTTGCATATTTATCAAGAATTTCATCTGGCCACTCTGTGCATTCGGAAAAGTTCGATGGTTTGGTCCATCTCTCACATGTACAGGTTCATACACAAATTTCTGGGTTACACCCAAGAACAAAATCAATGTTAATTTTGCTTCATAGACACAGATCGAGACCCAAAGAAGAGCTTTCTGTTGTTGTCCCTCTTTTATTTATGCAAATACAAACAAGAAAACAAATAGCATCAGAACCATATCTCCACACCTCAATTACTTCAAAACAAATTTTAGCTTCAAAGAATCACAGATTTTTGCTTCAAAACAACAACAAATCTAACCCAAAAAATACATAGCAAAAAGCCCCCTATTTTTTTTTTCCTGCTACATTTTCTGATTAAAATCGGGGAAAAAAAAATCCACAACAAACCCTAAATCATCAAACCCATAAAACTTAAGAAATCAAACCACATATCAAACACATTTAAGAAATCAACAACAAATCTAATCCAAGAAATCATACTCCCTCCGTCCCAAAATATTAGTCCCTTATTCCATTTTTCCAAGGTTTGTGTTTGGTTCTAGAGAAAGCAAAGGAAAATGGCTTGTTCATCATCAAGTAAGGTTATTATGGAGAAAGAGGAGAGGCCACATGTTTTAGCTGTTGATGACAGTTTGGTTGATAGAAAACTCCTTGAAAGGCTTCTCACCAACTTTGAATGCAAAGGGATTTCTTTTTTCACTTGTGATTGTTTTTCTTTGCTCATTTTTTTCTTTTTTCTTTGCTCATTTTTTTTTTATGATTGATCCAATTTTTAATCATAAAAGAAATAAAATTTGACAGCGTCTATTTTATCTGTTTTATAATGGGATGGTCTTGTTTGGAAAGTGGTTTGACTTTGTGCCTATTTTAGTTTGGTGCTAAAAAATTCGTTTGGATTTGATTTTTTAATTTTTTGGACTTTTACTACAAAAAAGTGAAATGATTATATTTTGATATGATATTTTTTCTTATTAATTTTTTTAATTAATTTATTTATTTTTGACTAAATTAACTCCCAATTTGAAAAAAAAAAAGAAAAAAAAAGAAGAGGCTTATCAACAGTAATTGTCATTCCAAACCCAATAGATCAAACTAGGCTCAAGCCTATAACTCTAGAGAAATAAGGAGTTGGTTTTTTGACTTTTTAATTTTTTAATTATTTTAATGAGTTAATTTTTTGACTTTTTAATTTTTTAATTATTTTAATAAAAATTCTTGTTTGTAATGAGTTTTTGACTTTTAAAATTTTTTTGAAAAAAAAGAAAATAAAATAATTATGGTTTGAATATGACATTTTATTTTATTAATTTTCTAACTTATTTTGCCTTTCTGTGACTAAAATAGCTTCACCTCACATGCCAAAAGCCTCAAAAGGTTTGGTCTTCGATTTTGAGTTTTTGGAAATAATTTTTTAAATTTTCAATTCATATTTTTATATTTGTAATGACTTTTTAAAATATTTTAATTAATTTTGTTTTAAAATTTTTAAATTTACTTCATCTTAATATACTTAAAAAGTAAAACAATTTGTATGAAAAAATTTAAAAAATTCATTGAATATAATAAAATATAAAAATGTATTGAATTTTCGTTTTTTATTTTTTTATTTTTTTTGTATTTGATGAATTTTTTTAAAAAAAATCACAAATATTATGTATGTTAATTGTATTTTGATTAGGTATATCTAAAAAAACATAAAAAATTGTATAAACTATTAAAAAAATTTAGTAAAAAAAAATCACGAAAAACAAAAAATAGACTTAATTTTCTAGAACCAAACATGGTGAAATCTTCTCCTACTGCAATATATCTTTCAATTCATAAATAACTTTATATGAAGAACTAGTAGACTCAATCACCTCACGTTTAACTCTTCAATTTTAGTTTTCTATTAATTTTGACCCATGCTAAGTCAATTCCCTATTACATTTCAATGTATAGTTGTTGTGGATTTTAATAACTTTGTGTTTGACTTTGATATAGAACATGGTTATGTTTGTAATGCAGTGACTACAGCAGAGAATGGGCAAAGGGCCTTGGAATTTCTGGGCCTAGGAGACAGACAACACTCCATCAATAGTAGTGTAATTATTCCTTCATAACCTACTACAATATATGTATGTCTAGTAAACTACCTTAACATCTAATTATATTCAACAATATTAAGAGAGAAAATGCATCATCAGAGGATATAAAATCTCGAAGAGAAATCATGTGTCCCCATATCTCAAATTCAAAAAATTAACAATTGTCATGAATCATAATGTGAGAAATGAATCTAACACCACTCATTTGTGTATGTCTACATAGCTATTACATAAAAACATAACATCTGATTTAATTTGTAGCATCGTCACACTAAATAGTTACTCCAATTCTCTCTCCCCCACATCATGTGTGATGAGCAGAGTGTTTTTTAGACTCGGATACATGAAAATTCAAGGCAGAAGATTCATTCCCAAAAACCACATTCATTTCAAATAGTTCTTTTTGGAAAATATTTCCACTTGTGGAAAATTTAAGGCAAATGAATTCTATATTCTTGCACTATAATTTTCTACAGTATAGACTAGAAATTAATTTTTAACATTACAGGTCTCTTGGAGAAGATGTTGAGTGTATCTAACATTGACAATTTTTGCAGGACTCCAAAGTAAATTTGATAATTACCGAATATTTTATGTCTGGAATGTCAGGCTATGAGCTGCTTAAAAAAGTCAAGGTAATATAATAATATAACCCCTCTTAAACATTCACCAATTAATATAACCCCAATTTTTGTTGACATGACCTTTGCACATAATGCTTGTTGACATCAATGTGAGTTGTTAATTAATTGGTGAATGTTTAAGAGGGTAATATTATTATATTACCTTGACTTTTTTAAGCAGCTCATACCCTGACATTCCAGGCATACAATAATCGGTAATTATCAAATTTACTTTGGAGTCCTGCAAAAAATATCAATGTCAGATACACTCAACATCTTGTTCTCCAAGAGACATGTAATGTTGAAAATTAATTTCTAGTGTACACTGTAGAAAATTATAGAGCAAGAACACAGAGTTCATTTGCCTTAAATCATTTTCCACAAGGGGGAATTTTTTCCAAAATGAACTCCTGAGCTCCTTCTTCCAAGCATCTGTTCAGGTCAACAAAATTGAAGTGAATTAATACACGGGCAACTTATAGAAAAGGACATTAAAATTATAAAATTAATAACTAATAAGTGTGGTAAAATAGGATGAGTGTAAGAGTGAGTGATTACTTCTTGATTCGAGTCGGGACATTCTCAGATGACTATCACTAATGGTATCTCTTTCAAGTCCGATGATTCCTGTCATCCAGGAAAAAAAATAAAAAGAGATTTTTCCTTGGCAAATCATAGGTTCTAAGCATTGTAACATACTCACAGATGCTTAATCGATGTGAGTTATTGATTAATTGGTGAATGTTGGCTCCAACTCATCATGTTGGCTCTGCAATGATACAGCAAAGCATTAGACTTCAACACACCCAATAAATCAAATGTATGTATAGAGAATCAAGGACGTCCCCATAAATACCCATATGATTCAAGTGAAGAAGACAGAAGAATAAGAAGGCACTGGCTAGAACTGGGCTTTGAGAAAAGTAAGACCTGGTTCCATCAGCACTATATGCCATTGCAGTGCACCAAAGTCCAGGGGCATCATAATCCACTCTCGATTCTAAGCAATCATAGAGCCATGCTTTAATTTTCCCATCAATGGCAGTGGAAAAAATAAACTGCAAACAAAGTTAAAATAGATCACGAGTGAAACTACCAAGGGACTAAGCTCTTTGAACCTTCCTTTACCACATCAGCGAAGACGTGCCAAAAAAATCATTCTTGTGACACCAAAGAACTGATAAGGAAACGGAAGGCAGTTGGCTCTCAAGTATCAGAATTATTCACCAGAATATTCTCCTTATAATGGGGGCAGACAGAATATACAGGAGCTTCATGGCCTTCAAATATATACTGCCTGCATCCAGATACAGCATAAGAAAAATCCCCACTTAAAACACCCTAAAATCTTATTGTCTTGTCATCACCACATGTGACAATACAAAGGCAATATCACTAACACCACCAACATGAGCATCAATTAGAAAAAATTGAATATATAACAGAGCTTACTTCCAAATGTTGTCTTAATTCTCCTGTTGGATTGTAAGTACATATCTGAACAATGTTCTTGAGAAAGCAACACCCATGAAAGAGAATATGTAAGATAAGCAATAAAACACAATTCCTGAGAAGGAATTTAAAGAAAAAGAAAAAAAACTCCAGTGCTTGAAAATAAAGCATTTAGATGTACCAAGCATAGATCTATCTGGGCCCCAAATGCATCGATTGATAGATATGGTGGCATCTTTCACCAAAGCTGTCTAGAAAGAAATTATGAAATTTTTTACATAAAAATGGTAAGATACCACAGATAACATGTCAAAGGTAGCTAATACCAATGAAATTTTTACCTGCAATGGCATTGAACAAGCTGAGAGATCCCAAACCTTGAAGGGTTTATGTGCTAACCTTTCTCGAGATCCAACTTCCCAAATGCTAACATCACCAACATTCGTCCCAACTACATGGCAATAGCATAACCAGTACTAGATTCAGACATCACTACCTCATGTTATCAGGTAGTGAATATGTGCAAGTACCTAAAATTGTCAAGGGCAATAAGAAAACCCAAGAAATAGATTCATATCAAATAGTGTTACAAATATCTAGCAGCACAGGAGTCAAAAGAAGAGCTCATCTCTAGTAGATATCAT